GTGTAAGGAGCACACACGGTGTAAGGAGCACACACGGTGTAAGGAGCACACACGGTGTAAGGAGCACACACGGTGTAAGGAGCACACACGGTGTAAGGAGCACACACAGTGTAAGGAGCACACACAGTGTGAGGAGCACACACAATGTAAGGAGCACACACGGTGTAAGGAGCACACATACATTGTAAGGAGCACACACAATGTAAGGAGCACACACGGTATAAGGAGCACACATGGTGTGAGGAGCACACACGGTGTAAGGAGCACACACAGGTCATAGTGATAATGTTCCCGGAGCTTCAGGGAGTCCCTTCATGGTCACCAGATGCTATGGGTAAATGGAGGCCCCTGTGGGGTTCAGAGTCTCATTATTAAAAGACTTCTAAGAATGGACTCATGGAAGCTTGGGGGCAGTTTTATTAGACTTAAGAAGGAAGACACCCCAGGGCAGTCACATTGTAAATCTCAGCAGCTGCTCAGAGAGAAGAAAAATTGTGCCATGACACTTATGCCAGCATAGATGTCAGCCACATGATCAGACAGCCCCATGACAGGGAGGGAGACGAGAGAGCAGAGTAAGGAAATACGACATACCAGAAAAAGCATGCTTAGTTTCTGGCCAGCATCTGAAGAGAAGGAATGGGAAAAGCTGACTCAGAAAGATGGGCGGACCCAGCTGAACCTCAAGGTGGCGCAGCCCATGGGGATTTGGGCTAAGGGCAGTTAATTCTGGGAAGTAAAAATATAGTAGCTCATTAAAGGAGTAATTAATTATTCCTCCTATCTATTCAGCATGGCTTAAGATGAACCCGCCCTCCTGGGGCATGTAAACACAGGCATAATTTGATTTCTCAGAACTGTGTATCACAAAGAGGTAGTCAGAATGAGAACATCATAAACATCTTTCATAATATATTTATTACCAAACACAATAGCACTGACCTTTTATGGCAACTCTAGGAATAGAAATAATATGCAACCCCAAACAGGAAACCTTCCGATTTAACTGACTTCATGACAAACGTGGGAAGCGCTCTCCATCCTGGAGCCTTTGAAAGCACAGGTCTCTGCCTCATACAGCACTGCACTCCGGACTAGCCCTGCCTCCCCAAGAGGAACATGGTATGGCCGGGAGCATTGCATTTTGGAAGAATAGTCTACAATAACCTGGTGATACACATGAAAAGTTTTCACAATGCCCATGGCCTTTAACCCTGAAATTTCTTAGCCGAAATGTTAAAAAAGTAGTGATTCCAAGATGCTATAAGTATTTATAAGCGCATCTCTAAAATATCAGATAGTTATCATCGTGTTTGCATTGTATGTTTGGTTGTACAAATGAGAGGTGACTGTTTGGCCTGAATAGTGTTATTTAGAATTACCCATGTTGTTACTCCTTTTCACCCGTTCATGCAACTCAGATGTTTCTCCTGGAGCCGTGCGTGTGCCTTTACTAAGACTGCCGGGGCTTCTGCTGCTGCTGCTGTTTGTTTTCTGTTTGTTTTTGTTTGTTTGTTTGTTTGTTTGTTTTTTGAGAGGATAAGTAGTACCTTGCCTATGATAGTTTTATTTTGTCTTAATTCTTTGAAATTTGGCATTATATTTTGAGACAGGGCCTCCCTAATTATCTCTCTCTGGCCTCAAACTCATGACCCTCCTGCCTCAGCTTCTCGAGTGCTGGGATTATATAAATATATGTGCTACCACCACCCCCAACCAAAAGAACAGTTTGGGATATGAATTCTAGGTTGTTAATTACTTTCTCTCGGCAGTTGAAGATATTCAACCTTTACTATCTTTTTAACGTTATTCTTATATTTCTTTGCTTGTTTGGGGGTATACACATATAGAAGTCAGGTCCTAGGGATCGAACTCTGGTCATCAGACTTGGCAACAAGCACCCTTACCCTCGGAGCCCTCTCACTGCCTCTCCCATTGACTTCTAACTTCACTGTTACCATGGAAGTCGGCGCTCAACCTCTGTGAATCCATTATATCCTTTTTCCTTCTCTTGAGTTTCTGTGCTGAGTGATTTCTTTAGATCTTCCTTCCAATTTTTTTAAGTGTTCTCAGGCCATTTTTCAGCTTTCCATAGACTGACATTATCTAACTTTGGAGAATGTGAGAAATGCCTGGGGAGCTCTTAAAGAATAGAAGCCGAGACTCACCAAAGTCATCTACAAACTGCACATCTCCATCAGTGCCGGGTCCCCAGGGGCTTCTGCTCCCACCAACCTTTGAGAAGCCATGGTAACATTTTCAAGCTTGGTTGCTAAGGTTTTTGTTCCTCTGGGTTGCAGTTCAAGTTTACTTTGTCAGTTTTACTAGCCCATGGTCATCCTTATAATTCCTTCCTTTGTTCTTGGAATCTACTGACCACAGATATTTTGTGCCATGAATTCCATGAGCATTATTGTTGTTTTAAGGAAGCATGATTGTTTTTGTTGACCTGCTGTTTTGGTAGATTCTTGCCTGTGATGGCTGGTTTCCCGGAGAGATTAGTGATTTTTTTTTTCAGGGTAAACTGTGGGCTGAAACTTTTTTCTAAGGAGCTACGTGAGCTTTTGTACAAAGCTTGTCCCTCTAGAGGGCTGGTTTTGTTTCTGCCAGGTGCTGGCAGCTGCTGTTGCCCGAGCATTGTAAACTTAATTTGGGCTTGAGGTTTGGGGGTGGCACAGGCCTGGCATCTACATGCCATGCTTAGGTGAAGGCAGGTCTCGGGTTACGACATTTCTTTTTTCTATTTCGCTGCAAACTGAGAGCTGTGGGGGCGGGGGGCTTTCTCCCCATGGTCTACCTCCAAGGGTACAGATTTTTGTGTGCTTCTCTGTTCTGTTTGTTCCTTACTGAGGTTTTGCTTCTCAGCCCTCCTGGCTTTGGTGGAATGGAAGATCTCCATGCTCCCTTTTGCTGTTTGCAGCCCCTGGCCTTATCACCTGGGTCCTGCTGATGTGGCCCACTGAAAGCCAAGGCCTCAGTCAGCAAGCTTAGCACCCATCCTGTCCCATCTGAAGGGTGAAGCTGTTTTGTTAGTTCCTTCCAGGACAACTGTGCATTTCTTAATCTATCTTTAAGTGGTAACGTTTCACCCAGCTGTTTTACTTGAAGGGTTCCTATGCCCACTGGTGTACCATGTTGCTGGAAGCAGAACACTTACATCTTAGGTATAAGATTATTGCTGTCATGAGGCTGGAGAGATGGCTCAGAGGTATAGAGCACTGGCTGTTCTTCCAGAGGTCCTGAGTTCAATTCCCAGCAAACCACATGGTGGCTCACAACCATCTGTAATGAGCTCTGGTGCCCTCTTATGGCCTGCAGTCATACATGCTGTATACATAATAAATAAATAAAGAAAGAATTTAAAAAAAAGATTATTATTGTCTAATATTGAGGCAGCATAAGTTTTTGAGGAGCAAACATTTAGAATTTGTATTATTCTGCATTTAGTGTTAAAAAGAAACATTACTAACCAGGATAGTGACACATGCCTGTAATCCTAGTGCTTAGGCAGCTGATGCAGAATGCTAGTTCAGGCCCAGTCTGGGCTACATAGCATGACCCTGTCTCAGAGAACTACACACACATAGCACGCATGACATTGTTCATTTTGTATTAACTTGGCCTAATCATTTCCCTTTCATTGTTTTAAGGAAGTAGCAGAATACTATGCTCGAAATGGAAATGCAGAGGAAAAGTGGGGACACCCCTTAGTGATTGAAAAACTAAAGGTAAGAGAGACAAGAACGCATTCAGCATCAGGAAATGCACATGCAAGTGTTTGGGGGACCTTAATTATTGTTGTTGTAGTGTAGGTAAAGAAGAACTACAATGATAATAACTTTTTTTACTTTTCTTTATGGTCTTGGTATGTTGGTTAGGCTGGCCTCAGCTTGTGGCAATCCTCCTGCCTCTGCCTCGCCAGTATCTGGATGAAAAGCATGATAGCTCATTTTTTTTTGCCCCCGGGGAGTGGTTTCAAGACAGGGTTTCTCTTTATGTAGTCCTAGCTGTCCTGGAACAGGGATAACTTCCTTAAATAAAGATTTTACAAATCTGGGTTTTAAAAAAAAAATCTTGGTTGGGTATGGTGGCTCACACCTGTAATCCTAGCACTTGAGAGGGGAGGTTGAGGCTCAAGGATTGCTGCAAATTTGAGGCTAGCCTGGGCTACACAGTGAGCCAGAGCTACAGTATGGGTCCCTTTTTAGATAGAAAGGAAGGGGGTGGGGAGGAAGGACAGGAGGGAGGGAGGAAGGGACAGAGGGAGGCAGGGAGGGAGGGAGGGACAGGGAGAGGGAGAGGGAGGGAGGGAGGGAGGGGAGGAGGGAGGGAGAAGGGGAGGGGAAATAAAGCCGGAGCAGGACAGTGGGATTGGAGGCTGGAACTGAACGGAAGAGCTCTCCTCATGTGTGTGCAAGGCCCTGGGTTTGTCCAGCAAGAGGCAGGGACAAAGCAGGATGTTTGTCCCCTGTCGAGTCACACTTCGTGTTTTCAGATCTTACCAGCCATGCATGGAAGGAACTGTGGCATATAACACATTTGGCAGAATTACACTTCAATTTGTGTGTGAGCTGTTGTAATCATCCTGATTGAATGAGAAGCACCAAAGTATGCAAATTTAGTTTTAGAGCCAAATCTAAGGAATCCTGGAAAGCAAGACATTTCCTTAATTATTAAGAAACTACTGACTAATGGGTTAGTAAGCAGTGATTTAACACAGTGTAGAATACAATGAAATAACTCCATAAATGATTTTAAATTTCAGAAAACATTAACGCCAATATTTGTTTAAAATCAGCTACTTTGTTTGGCACTTTTTGATCCCTTGTCCATCCCCTGACAGGAAATGGCCAAAGCCGAGGGCCTGTGGAACTTGTTCTTGCCAGCTGTGAGCGGCCTCAGCCAGCTGGACTATGCCCTGATTGCCGAAGAGACAGGAAAATGCTTTTTTGCTCCAGATGTTTTTAACTGCCAAGCACCAGGTTACTACAAGCAATTTTCTCTCTTTGAACGGTGTTTAAAATCTCTTTATTATAAGCAGATTTTCCTGTGCGAAATCATTCATTTACAGATTTTGCCGTAATTTTACAGCTACTCTGAACGCAATGTAAAAGTGGATTTGAGGTTCTCAGTGGGTTGCCCTTTTAATCAGCATGGTTACATTAAGAGTGCCAGCAGACAGAAGTAGCCACCAAGAGGCCTGGTTATATAAACACCCCACTTCCTGACTGGGCTTGGGTATTTCTGTGGCTAGCTAGAAGGGAGAGAAATTCCAGAGGTCTTTGTTAACCCCCAGTCTCTCCACTGTGCACAGCTCTTTCTCCGAAAGGCTGACATGCTTTCTGCCAGGGGCTTGCAGCCATGTTACCAGCACACTACACTTAACTGGCAGGATGTCCTATAGTGCCCGTGCTCTGGGGTCCTGGCTGCTGCCGTTCATTGTGTGGCCCCGTGTTGAGGCTCTCCCAGAAGGGCTAATGCCAGCTTGAGCAGCAGGCTACACAGGTGTAGTGGGTTTCTGGGAGAAGAGTCCAGAATGTGGCTCCATGCTAGACTTTGACTCGCTTGTCTGTAAATTCAATATAGTTCTCAGGCTTCTGATGATAGTGCCGATCCCTGGCATAGTTTCCCTCTGTCTACACCAGTTTATCAAGTTACTGCTGTCCTTCATTGTAATCCTGTGAAGAGGCTATTGTAAGAGAAACAATAGCCTTTGCTGTCTTTGCTGTCTGAAGATTTTATCCTAACTCTACGATGCTGTTATGACACACTGTACATGCTGCGTGGTTCTATAGAAAAGGAAATGAATGGCTAATCCTGAAGTTCAAATATTTTCTCCCTACTCTTCCTAATAAGACATCTTTTATATTGCAACCCAATGTAATGTAGCATATATAGTTGCACACATGGATTTGTAGGTAGATGGACAAATATTCCTCTGTATGGATGAAACACAGGTCTCATGAAAATATCTTTCCTTATTACACGTGGCATTCAGATATTTCCAAGACCTAACATATTCTGTATTATTACATTTTTATTTTTATTTTTATTTTTTTATATTTCTTAAAGTCATGGTTTCTTTTTTTATTTATTTTTATTTTGTGTGCATTAGTGTTTTGCCTGCATGTGTGTCTGTGTAGGGTTGTCGGATGCCCTGGAACTGGAGTTTCAGTCAGTTGTGAGCTGCCATGTGGGTGCTGGGAATTGAACCTGGGTCCTTTGGAAGAACAGTCAGTGCTCTTAATCACCGAGCTATCTCTCTCTCTAACACCCTTGTTATTGTTGTGGTTCGAGGCTCCAAATCAACCCAAGCAGACACAAGAGGTTATGGCAAGGCAAGATTTAATGCAGGGCAGCACAGAAGAAGGTGGGAAGGGGAGGGGCTGACCGATCGGGCCGCATAACAGCCTCGGGAGCTGAACTGCTGCCCAGGACGTTAGTTGAAGCAAGTATCTAAGCACAGAAATCACAAACATTTGCTGCTAAGTTACAGTCACAGTTTTCACCAATCAGGATTTGGAGATTAGGGGCTCTCTTGAATGTTCCCTCATTGTCAACCGACATACTATGCAAGCTTTTCAACCAATCAGATTCATTTGTTCTCTCTGTTGTTAGGACCAGCCATATGTTTCTAGAGAACAAAAGATGCATACGGGTATTTCTATGGTTTAAGAAGGAGGTTGGTCAGCTATTGGGAGGTTCCCAGCTCCCCTAGGGCTTGGGATCCTGAACTTTGCTTCACCCTACAGGTGAAATGGAGTCTAAAATCAAAATGGCAGTTTTAGGACAAGATGCTTTTTTAAAAAAAAAGCCTGTTCCCAACATTATGTTTTTAGAGCGTGTTAGCCATATTCTGTTAAGTGGATTCGTGGCACAGTACTGGGTCATACACAGTGTGCCAAGTTGGGCTGCGGGAAGCTTGCTTGCTTGCAGCTCTGCCGTGGATGTTGCATTTCATTTGCGGAGTCACCTGTCACTGCACACTCAAGGAGGGTCTCCTAAGGTTGAAACTTCACGAGTCTGTTGGTTGTTCTGTTTAAATAATACCACAAGACGGTTGGACTTTTTAAGTAGTTTTTGACTAAGGAATGACTAAGCTACTCTCTCAAGCAGAAAGACAGGGAAACTCAAGAAGCCAAGCGTCTCCCTTTTGTGGTAGCGGTTACAAAGGCCTGGGACCTTGTGTGCTGGAGCATTTTCCAGGCAGACAAATGGGGAGTTGTAACTGGTGCTAATGACATTCTTTGGGAGGCTTCTTAAGTCTCAATGATTAATTTCTACCTAGGCTTTCCAAGTAACTGCTCTTATCAAAGCTCAGAAAACATATGTAGCCTTCCAGTTTGTCTTTGTCTTCTCCCTTCAAAAAGGCACACAGTGTTGTGTATTAGAATGCTGAAAATAGCTATTTTTAATTTTCAAACCTGTCACTAAAGAATTTAGGGCCTTTGAGCTGATTTTTTCTTTCTTTCTTTCTTTCTTTCTTTTTTTTTTTTTTGGTTTTTCTAGACAGGGTTTCTCTGTGTAGCTTTGTGCCTTTCCTGGAACTCACTTGGTAGCCCAGAACTCACTTGGTAGCCCAGGCTGGCCTCAAACTCACAGAGATCCACCTGCCTCTGTCTCCCGGGTGCTGGGATTAAAGGCGTGCGCCACCACCGCCCGGCTCGAGCTGATTTTTTTAATAGGTTTTTCCCTAAACTGTAAATAAAAAATTGGTCTGTCTCCCAAGGTAAAACTGATGATTTTAGATTCTTCCTTTCTCTTTTAAGTAAGATCTCATGTGGCCCAGGAAGTCCTCATACTTATGTAGTCAAGGCTGATCTTGAACTCCTGATCCTTCTGCCTCTACCCTACCCCCAAGAACAAGTGCTAAGGTTACAGATGTGTGCCATTGTTCCCAGCTTAATTTTAAAATGTTTTAATTCTTTATTTTGTTCATAACAAGTAACACTGAATTTCAAACAAGCAAAGAAAGTGAACAATTCACTCTGTTAATTGTAATTGAGGACTTCTTTTCTCCCTCACTTAAAAACAATGTGAGGTTTGTGTGGATCTACTGGGAATTTTGTGCCTCTTGATTCAGTGTTTGTGTCTGAACAGAGTGCAAAGGTATATTTTTTAAGGATGGTTTTGAGATTGAAAAACATCTTTATTTCTGCGTGTGCATACATACATGTGTACAAGTCTCCCGAAGGGGATGTAGAATCCCCTGGAGGTGGAGCTGCAAGCTGCTGTGAGCTGCCGGAAGTGAGTAGTGGGCACTGAACAGGGTCCTCTGCAAGAGCAGGAAGTGCCCTTAACCCTGAGCATCTCTCCAGCACTTACAAATATATCTTACTTGGTTCAGAATTGTCAGTTTCCATCGGCATTTGAGCAACCATCCTCCAAGTCACAGGAGGTGACACTGAAAATCTTTCAAGTCTGGAAAGGATTCAAGCAGAATTTTAAGAAAATTTTACAGGAATGGAAATCAGAGAAAAGCATCTAGAACATTTTGCTCACAATGAACAAAGTGTGCTTTTTCAGCTGTAGAAGGTAGAGTGTGTGGTGTACTAGACAGCACCCTCCAGACTGGAGTGGATCCACAAGGCTTTCTGCTTCCTTACAGGGCAGGGATTCTGATTTTCACAGAGGAATGCTGTGCACAAATTAAGACCTATTTTAGAGCACATACCTGGAAGCCCAGCACTAATGAGGCAGAGCAGGAGTTTGATGGCAGCCAGGGCTACGCAGTGAATACCTGTCTCAGAAACCAACTGAATAAACAGCAGAAACAAGCTATGAGAGGTAAACAAGAGTTGCTGTAGCTCGGAGCAAGGAGGTCTTTCAGAGTGGGCAAGTAGAGGTTCATGTAGAGAGCGTAGCTCCTGAGCAGTTTACTTACCCACAGCCAGCAGACTTTCAAGAGGCCTGGCCCAAGCCAACTTGTGAGCATGAGGAACAGCATAGACACTTGGGAGCTGGGGGCCTCAATACGGAGTATCAGTTCCTCTCCAGGAACACGGGAATCACTCCCGACCCAACATACAAGCACAGCAGGCTGGGTTTAAAACAGAAATGGCTACTTCAGTCCTAATGGAGTTAGACCTCCTTAAAGCCATGGAATGAACTGGGCGAGCACCCAAGATTCAGAACAAGTTAAATAATGGACTGAATGCCATGCATTTATGATGAATGATACAGCATGTCATCATTACACATTAAATTTAATGTACATTTCAGAATATTTGCATCAACAAACATTTTACTTAAAAAATACAGTCTGAGCCCGGTAGGAATGGCGCACGCCTTTAATCCTAGCACTTGGGAGGCAAAGGCAGGCGGATGTCTGTGAATATGAGGCTAGCCTGGTCTACCGAGTGAATTCTAGGACAGCCAGGGTTACATAGAGAAACCTTGTCTCAGGAAAAAAAAAGAAGAAAGAAAAGAAAGGAAGAGAAAAAAGGTATAGTCTGTATTATCTTCATAAATGTGGATTTAGTACTGCTAGTTTTAAATGCCCAACACTTTCTTTTCCCCTGTAGACACAGGCAACATGGAGGTGTTGCACCTGTACGGCAGTGAGCAACAGAAGAAGCAGTGGCTGGAGCCGCTCCTGCGTGGAGATATCACCTCTGTATTCTGTATGACAGGTAGGAGGAGTCCCAGCCCTGTCCCCTGGGACCGTCATCCTGGGGTCATTGTGGATGGAAGAACTGCAGCAGTGTGGGGTGTAGGTCGGCTGGAGCCAACTTGGCCACGGCCAGAAATGTGTGGATTTGGAGCCTGGTTTGAAATGCTGCCATCCTTAAATGTTGAGGATAAACACTCCTGTCCTTTGGGAGGGCTCCAGATGTGTTCTGGCAGTCTACGTCAACATCGGCAGTGGGGCAATGTTTTTAAATTGTGTTGTTTCTACAATTGCTGCTCATTTATTTTCTCCTTTGTGATATTTATATGACTACAAACTACTCAACTATCCCATAATCCTAGAAAACCGGAACTTAAACCAGTGGAAATATTGCTGAAACCACCCTGTAGAGGAGAAAGCCAGGGACACAATGATGAGAGCGGTGTTGGTCCATTTGTACATTGGAAACAGTCCTTTAAAAATTACTATAAAGACAAAAATTGCATCTCCACTTGAGTTTAGAATTAAATTCAATTTGGTTTGGTCATAATGTAAAGTTCATATTGACCTTTTGCTCACAACCAGATTTTATTTTACTTTTTGGTTAGGGATTTTCAAAACAGGGTTTCTCTGTGTAGCTCTGGTTGTCCTGGAACTTACTCTGTAGACCAGGCTGGCTCAAACTCAGAGATCGCCTGTTTCTGCCTCCTGAGTGCTGGGATTAAAAATGTGTGCCACTACCACCCAGCTAAATTTTATTGTTTTTTATATAATATACTTATATATACATATATACAATTGTTTATATAATAACAAAGTTCTCTCTATTTAAATCATCAAGAGGTGTTTGTGGAACACCTACAGAATGGTATAATGACATATTGTTTACAAAGCACCGACCTGAGGTCACAGGATAAGCTTGCCATCCCCTTTCTCTGAAAACAGCTTCTGGAGCTTTAAAAGGAATCCCTGAAGTATCCAGGACTCTCTTAAAAGAGCAGAAGAGGGGCTGGGGACACCACTCAGTCTGTAAAGTGTTTGCCACACAAGTATGTGGGTCTGAGTTCCATCCCCGAAGTCTGATGTTGTGACACATAATTGTAATCACAGCACAGAGGGGCGATTACAGAAAGATCAGTGAGGCTCACTGGCCGGCCAGGCTAGCCAGTCACCAAGTACCAGGCTAATACCAGGCCAATGCGGGACCCTGTCTCAAAAAAAAAAAAAAAAAAAAAGCCAGAGGCGGAATGACCACTGAAGTTGTCTGGCTCCATACACACATGTCCCAGCATGTGAGCACACACACACACATAAACACACAAAATACTAATAAGAACAATATAGGAAGAAGGTAAAGGCTGATTGGTCCCTAATGCCATGCAGGAAACAGTGTACTGCACAGAAAGCTCTAGAGACCCAAGTGTTAAGAAGATCTGAGTGTTGAAGGTGTGGCCTGGCAGACACGCTCTCAGTAGCACTCACAGGGTGCAGGGAGAAGTTGTTAGTGAGAGTAGAGGAATCCAGCCTGCCCACAGTTAAAGCACATTCCCACTGTGGAAAGTCAGAGGCGGTGTTTTTTATCAATTTCTGGTGACGGGGGAAATGATGAGTGAGTTGTATCCCGACTCAGACATCAGCAAGGCTCCAAGGACACACTGGTCAGTACTAATCCTACGATTCATCCCTCTGTCTTCCAGTTCATATCTATTGAATGCTTACAGTGTGTATGTTAGGAAAGGACCAAGCAGAAAGGGGTAAGATGGAAAGATTGAAAAAACAGAATAAAGAGCCAGCGTGTCGCCTCTGTCTCAAAGAGCTTGCCCTTCCTTGTCTACGCCTCTTTTAAAGCTGATTTCTGTCAGTTAATCAAGCCGTGTTCCTTTATAGAGCCCGATGTCTCATCAAGTGATGCCACAAACATTGAATGTAGCATCCAGCGAGATGGAGATGGCTATATCGTTCACGGCAAGAAGTGGTGGAGCAGCGGTGAGTGTGCTCTGTGCTTCCGGTACCCCGTGGCCGGGGCAGCGCCACAGTGCCCAGGTTCTGTGCTTCCGGTACCCCGTGGCCGGGGCAGCGCCACAGTGCCCAGGCTCTGTGCTTTTGGTACCCCGTGGCCGGGGCAGCGCCACAGTGCCCAGGCTCTGTGCTTCCGGTACCCCGTGGCCGGGGCGGCGCCACAGTGCCCAGTCTCGGCTTCACAATCACAGCTTGAAACTCAGCCTCTGAAACACTATCACACTTAGAAACGGTACCCAGAGGAAAGGTAATTTGTAAGTCTGGGGTGTAGGTCAGTGGTGGTAGAACATAGGCTTAGCATGTGTCAGCAAAGAATAATAAATGTGGTCTTTATTTTATTGCCTAAAATATGCATGTTTAAATAAAAATAAGCTTTATACTAATCAGTTCTCAGTAATAGGCCAACATACCTTGGGAAGTTCTTTAGAAAGTTATAAAATTAGACTCTAAATAACTATGATTTTTAAGGTGTGCCTCCCAAATATGCATAATGAACACAGCATGTATTTGGATGGTTTTCTTTGGTGATACCATCAAAGCAAATCGCATGTGTAGGCACTTACTGGAATGTGTAAACATCTCAGGAAAGTTTATGGGTTTGGCCTTTTTTTTTTAAGGGTTGGGAGAATTGCCATTCTTGCTTATGTCTGTAGTGATCTTTAAGAGGTCACGTAGGAAGGCAAGAAGCACCACCTCCTTCAGGCCCTATAACCCAAGGTCATGGGCAGAACAAATACCACTACATATGCCTTATAAAATCACTTATAAATTAAGAAATAGAAAAAATAGAGTAAATTTTCTTGTGATTATTTAAGCATTGGAATTTTGCAGAAAAAATATTCTTATTAAAACTTAGATCATTATAAATAATTATAAATTTTTCTTAGCACAAGTTTATTCATTGTTTTTAGATCACTTGACTCACAGCATGACGGTTTTTTTTTTAACTTTTTATTTTGAAGTTGCTGTCTACTCACAGGAAGTTACAAAGACAGTACAGGACGGTCCTGGGTGCTCCTTACCCAGAGACTTATCACACGGCATGGTCTCGGGTGCTCATTAGCCAAGGTTTTATATTACATAATTACAGTTGCTATCAAAATCCGGGAGTTGAAAGTCACGTGGGGCACAGCTAGATTTGAGTAGCCACCGCTGCAGTCAAGATGTGAAACAGCCCACCACCACAAAGCCTTCCTGTTTATAGCACAATGCTTTTCTGCCATGCTGTTTTCCTGTCATTAACTCGAATTTCCGCGTTTTGCCGTTTGCTGTTTACTCTCTGGCGTCTGTGTTCCTCATACCCACACCCCTTGCTCCTTCTTTGTTATACAGTGCAACAACAGTCTAGTGTGGGACATTTGAGTCTCAGTGTAACACAAATAGTTTATCTGAGGAAGAAGCATCTCTCGTGTGTGTGTGTGTGTGTGTGTGTGTGTGTGTGTGTGTGTGTGTGTGCAAGCAAAAAGCAGAGAGCAATTTTATATTTAAATGGTAAAGGAACTGGTTGGCTCTGTAGGACCCTCAGAGTCGAAAGGAAATTCCTCCACGTTCTGTCTCTGTCTTCTCCACGATCCATATTTCTTGGCCACTTTCGTGATATAGTTTTTGAAAGAGGCCCCCATGAAGACATACAGGACGGGGTTGAGGCAGCTGTGGAAGAGCGCGATACTCTCTGTGACCTGGATGGCAACATCCATGCGCTTGCTCATGGTGCAGTTGGTGATCAGCAAGAAGATAGCATCTATGGCTTGGCAGAACTTGACGATGTTGTACGGCAGCTGGGTGACAATGAAAACTACTACCACCGTGAGCAGGACCTTGAGGGGGCGAGACTTTTTAATGTTTGGCATCTTGAGGAGCGTCCTGGCAGTGATAGCATAGCACACCCCCATGATGAGGAAGGGAACCACAAAGCCGATGCAGATTTCCAGCATCTGAATGGATGCTTTCAGGGGTGTTCCTAGGTGGTGGGGAAAGATGGGAGTGCACTTTGCATTCTGATTCACAGTATAAAAAACCAGCTGGGGTATGCTCAGCAAGATGGCAGCCATCCACACACAGCAACAGATGACCCAGCAGGGTCTCCCCGCTCCTGATTGGCTGGGAGCCTTCGTGATTGCCCAGTATCTGTCAATGCTGATACAGGCCAGGAACTGCATCCCAGAGACAAAGTTTACCGTGTACAGGGCCGAAGTTACTTTGCACATCATTTTCCCTAGAATCCACCCATGAACTGCATTAACTGCCCAGAAGGGCAGCGTGACCAGAAGCAGTAAGTCTGCCACAGCCAGATTCAGAATGTACACATCTGTCTTGGTCCTCTGTTTCTTGTAAAAGGCATAAATTGCCACAACTATGGAATTTCCTGCCAGTCCAGTAATAAAGGCTATCGTGAAGAAGGCGGGGAGGAAGACTTTTGCAAACTGCCTGACCTCTTCTTTGATGCAGACCGATTCAAACTGGCTGTAGTCATAAGTACCATTCGTTATGTTTTCCTCATAGTAGTATTCCATTGACTGGTTCTGCTCCAGAGCCATGGCACCAAGCTGGATGGCAGGAAGAACATAAGACACTCACTTCAGCATTGCTTAAAAAGAAGCAGCTTTGCCCAGCATGTGGTGTGTGTTTCCTCTAGAGAACAGCTTGTGGATCTCACTCTGACAACTTTAATGGGAACCACATTGACTCAATTTCTGCATCCTTTGTTCTTATGAGTCTGTAGGCAGGAACTGGCGTTTGTCCATGGCCAACAGACAATATCCTGAGGGATTCCCTTAGTTACTAAATCCTAGGTAAAGGTGAACACTTTTAAGTAAATATGAGTTGTTTTGTTTTGTGGGTTTTTTTGTTTGTATTTGTGCATGTAGTCTGCATGCATGTGTGTGTGTTTTCATGTGTGTAGGTGTGAGGGCACATGTGTGTGCATGTATCTACAGGTTGGAGTTGGCATTAGGAGTCACTAGATTACTCTCTACCTTATTTGTTGAGGTGAGGTCTCAGTTGAACCCAGAGCTCAGCGGCAGAGCTGTTCTGACTAGCCAGCATGGTCCACACATCCGTCCTCTCCCTGTTGAGTGTTGGGGCTGTAGGTGGGCTGCCGTGCCCACCCCTCATTTACATGCCTGCCAGGGATCTGAACCCTGGTCCTCACACTTTCGCAGCAAGCACTTTAACCACAGGGCCATCTACCTAGTCTGGCTTTCATAATATAAAATTTAATCAAAGAGCAGAAGAAATGTTGTAATTTTTATAAATACCTCAAGTCTTGTGGAATATATCTACAATAAATTAAAATAAGTTGTTTTGCTTTAAGAAGAAATATTTTAATTTTTTATTCTAGTGTTACTATAATTTTCATTTAAATAGATTAGCTTGGCATTTGCATAGAGAATTACTGGTTTACTTTTCTACGGGAAGCCTCATTCAGTCAGCTTGCCTCCCAAGCCTGTTACTGCTTGTGTTCTCTGGTCCCTCTAAGCTGAGAACTGGCACTGTCCTTGACTTCTCGCCTACCTGGATCCCTGGTTTCCAGTTGGTCTCTAAGTTCGTTCATTCTTGCTTGCTTGCTTTATTTTTATTTGTTTTTTTGTTTTCTGAGACAGAATCTTACTCTGTAGCTCAAGTTAGTAATCCTCCTGCCTCAGCCTCCCCAGTATTGGGATTACAGGTGTGAACCCCCACACCTGGTTTGCATATCCAGAAAACGGGTCTGGAATTTTCCTGTTCTTGCAGTCTGTGGTCTTGTGCAAACTGTGGCCCTCCTGTTTGTTTGCATGAGTGCTGGTGTACACACACACACACACACACACACACCCTTACTGCCCTGTCTTCCTGGCTGGAATCTGACTGCTCTTCATCCTGCTCACCAACTTTTTGTGAAAACCATCCTTAGTGCCGTCAGTATTGTACCTCTGACTTGCCAGTCTACTGCTTAGCTCTGTACCGGAAGCACTTCACTTCCCGAGAAAACTCCAACACGGGGTCCTCAGAGTGGTGTCCCAGGCTCCCTCCTGCCGCCTCTGCGCTCCCCCTCCCCACACAGTAGAGAGTCGTATGCTGAGTTGCCAGCTGTTGGTCAGCACACTCTGCTCTGATGTGCAGCTCCACCATTGTCCCTGTCCCTTTTTCCAGCACCATTTTCTGCCCTCCCCTGAAGAGTAAGTTAGTTTGGGTTTTTCCTCCCCAGAAGATTCACCCTCAATCAAAGATATGACTCCATCCTGTGGAGAAAATGTATTTCCCAGCTCTAAGTTCTCTGAAGTCTGAGCACTTTGATTTCTGGTTGTGACTGAAGCTTCTATTAGCATACCAGGTACACCCTAGCTGTTCATTAAGTATTTGTCAGGTTCTGGAGGTTTTGTCGACACATATAAAGCTGTTATTGCAGAATGGATGGAGGATATGTTAGGAGTCTCCTGTCTCAACTCAGGAAGCACACACACTGGCTAATAGCACTGCCGTGTGCCAAGACAAGCTTGCACTGAATTCACAAATATTAATATGAACATTATAATGGCTTTCAGTGTTTTTATTACCTTTTCTTTTCTAGCTTCTCTATCTTGGTTGGCCATTTTTGTCCTTCAAAGAATCGCTAGTCTTACAGAATCAGTCATTAAAACAGTATTTTCAAAACAGTACAGGAAAGAACATTCAGTTTCAAAAGAGGTCTTTGACTTGCTAGCTCATCTCTGAATGAATAACGTGAAGGTGCCGCTCAGGGAAGGTGCTCCTGAGGGAAGGTGCTCCTCAGGAAAAATGCCCCCTAGGGAAGGTGCTCCCTTAGGGAAGGTACTTCCCAGGGATTTTTCCTATCATGCAGAAAGCAAGCAGCAGCAGTCTGCAGTGACTCCTTTGTCATTAAAGGTGGTGTAGAAGCTGCAATGAAAGCCTCCTGTAGCCTCCATGGCTTCTGCATTAATTATTAACACAACATGACTTTGTTCTGTTATCACAGAAATCTTGAACTT